ATTGGGAAGAAGGGGTGCGAGACAGAGAGGAAGGGAACCGCGGCTGGCGGGCGGGGGTAGGCAGCAGGAGAGGGAGGGGGGAACGAGTTTGCGACGTAACGAGCCGGGGACCGTGAACTTGGGTAGGTATACCGGCTGCCGCTGATGCGGGTCTCACGTATTACGTGTAATTGAACGACGGCGTTCCCGCCGCGGGGAAATAGGGAATGCTGCTGCCGCGGATCAAGTGCCAGTTCAAACGATGCCTGGTGGTGCGCGCGCGCCCCTGCCCTGCGCGATACGCGCTCGCGCGCGCCTGCCGATTGTTCATCGGGAATTTATGGACCACCGTGGAACATTTCGAGCAGCTTTTGGCCGGATCGTTAAGGATCCGAAGAGGAACGCGTTATCGAGCAGTAACAATTTGAAACGGCGTCCGAGGGAAAAGCGTACCGTGGCTGGAAAGTGGAGAAAGTTGGAGCGTCCCTCTGGTATTAAGAAATAAAGAAGTTCATTCTCTAAAAGTCCGGATTATCTGGAATGGGATAGCGACATAAATGTCGGGAATAAATTTTTAATTTCGAGATCTGGCCGGCGGATTTTTTCGAAGGCGCGCCTTTAAAGTTTCGCAGGAGAAATCCTCCGGAACCGGTCGTTCCGATCGATCACCGGTCGTTAGATGTTTCTTTCGGCCGACCGATCGAGTTCGATAAATTCTTGCGAGGTATATATCGGTGATTGTTATGGGACTGTTTTGATTTGGATCCGCGGACCGGCTAGGAACGACAATTCGGATGAGATCACGACTGGGCCCGGCGTCCGATCTCCGTGGAAGCGGACGACTTTTTCCGGGAAGAGCCGGGGAATTCTGTATAATGAGGAAGAATTGTGAGAAAGGACCTGAGGCGATCGGGGCGCAGTTAACTGGTTGCAGTTCTCGCTTTACGGCGAGTGATATATGGTTAATTCGCGAAACACCGAACACTCGGGCAATAACGTTACCGGCGCTCATTGACGACTAAAATGCAGACTATAGGCAATTACTGTGGCGCGAGGGAACCGCGCGCGGAAAGGTGAAATATTATACCGATTTATGCCCACGGCCTTGGCAAAGATCTTGTAATAAGGATCAATGAGCTCGCACGATAAAATACACCTCTGCCGTGGCTATACGCTTCCACGCCGCGGTTTATTCTCTCGAACGGGCTATTAATGACAATGAATACTATCCGTTATTTCGTTGCCCGCCCTCGGAACCCGTAATTATAAATCGTTCCGCTGAACGGTTGTCGACTGCACGACCAGTTCCCGGAGAAAATGTAAATACTGCGCGAGCATAATTCAAGGGGATGATGGATCGTACGAGCGCCGGCTCCAGATCGGGCGGACCACTTTCGCCGCCATATTGGCTTCTGCCAATTAAAACTGAGAAAGGAATCATTAGCGCGCGGATCGGTCCAAGATGAAACGGAAGGACACTGTTTACAGACTGTCTACATAGTATTAATAGCTATGATATACATCCAAACGAAGAATATCACTGTAGATTCTCCGCGAGCGACACTTCATGAGTAACTTAGTCCCAACGTGATTCTATCTGAAATTTTTTGGAAATGCAAATCATCGAAAACACCGAACGTGAAACGGATTAACACACCTCCGCCGAGAATCCGTAGCGTCTACGCGTTTCCCGCCGATAATACCTTCTAAGGGTTAATCGAAGTCATGTTGGCAGAGGGTTCGAACGGCGTGTATACGATTAAAAAAGATTACACGGGCCTCATTCGATAGATGAAGAGTTAAACGAGACAAACGCGCGCGCCCGCTCGGAATTGGAACGAATCGAGCGCGACGACGCGCTGGTCCCGGCATTCATTTTACTAATGATACTTTTATTGGGCCGATGAAAATGATGTATCCTCCTATTTGAATTTCGATGAGTAAATCAAGGCGGTCCGGGACGGGGACGTGCGTAGCAGAGAGAGGACGGCCTGCCAATGCCGGCCGGGCCCCTACTTTGGCCAGGTAAAGGTAACAAATCACTTTTCAACGACGGGAGATGGAACTACCGAGCACTGTTTTCTGAAAGGAGGCGGACATCCCTTTCTCGCCCCTCTAGCCTTTTCTCTCTCGCCCTTTCTCCTCTATCTTTCTCCGTGGGGAACCACTTGACGTGTCCCTAACACACGGTCCCTGACACAATGCGTCCGATCGTTTTACACTCAATGGGACGGGAATGCGCGAATCCCAAACAGCCCGTAAAGCTAATAATGACGCGGCGAAAAACCGGCCGTCAAAAGGGAGAGCATCTTTAACCCGGCGGCAATTAGAAAAGGCGACCGCGGTACACGCTCCTGTCGTCCTGGCGAAGGGAAAGAGAATTTCTTTTTCTTCTTTCGTTGGGATTCTGCGTGCCTTTCTACTTTCTACGATATTTCGGTGGTCGATTTATGCGCGCAACATATTATATTCGTTCATCTTTCATTAATTCTCACAAGGTTTCCTTACTACGAGAGCACACGGTAATCACGCCGACTTATAACTGAAGAAAGTTTAATATTAGCATTAAATGCGTGCATTCTTCCAGCGGCCGCTGAAGTTCTCGAACAAAGTACGACGCCGATGAGAACTCGCGCACAGTGACTCCGATATTTTCATTTACCCGCGTTTAAATCCTTTATAATACGACGATTTAATTGCTCGTCGGCTTATTTGCACAAAAACGAGCGCGTACGAGCGTTATTCCAATGTATATTCAACTATTAAGAAAATAGAAAGAGGTTTCTCATTTCCCAACGTTTCCGTCGATTCTCCCACAGGGCTGCCGCAATAAACGGCGGAACCGCCGCCGTCGTAGTAACGAGCGCGTAATCTCGCCGCGAAGAAACTAATTCGCGCCGGTCACCGGAGATTATCAGCCTCGCGCCGCTCGCCGTCGCGTCGCGTCGCGTTGCAATCGCCGCCCCGTCCCCGGACACGTTCAATTCTGCGAAAATCCGCGAGGATCCGCTGAAAAGAACAATGCCGCGCGCGTCCCGTGTAACATCAGATACACGGTCGCTCTCCCGTGTAGATTATAAATCGACGGGGAGGCCGGCCGGGCGAGAGAAAGGGTACCACGTAGGTAAAGAGACC